GTAAAATTTAAAAAAGGAATCATCAGTTGCAATAATTTCTTACAATTGCAATGAGGATATATTATATTTAATATAATTATATATAACTCCTAGTTTTACTAAATAGCAAAATGATAAAGGTTTATTTTTCAATACTTATTTGATTCTCAATAATCCTATACTTAAATGGATAACAAATATATAATGAGAAAAACTATAATTCAAATTTAAAGTAAAGCCTTATTAAAAAATAAACCAATAATTCATGATCATTGCAATAATTAAGGATTAATGATTTTTTAGATTTTATATTGCTATTATTGAATAATCTTTATTTGCGATCTTTTAGATTTAGATCGAAATAATTAATCCCAATTAAAATTAAAAGATCGAATATTTTCTTAATTCTAAATAGCTATAACATTTATTTACTAAATAAAATTTGAATTTCCTATTTCATAATAAAATAGAATAGAATAGGTTCTGATTAATAAAGTCTCTTTGAAAGATACAATAGAAATAAGATAACAATAATAATAGATTATAGTTATCTATAATTGCTGTCTAAATTTAAATAAAAGAATTTAATTTATTAAAGGAGGATAAATTGAATTGTTCATGTAAAGATAAACACTTTATGAATATTTTTAAGCTCTTATAATTGTTTCTTCATACTTTATTTTTAATTAGAATAATTACTAATCTACAAATATATTATTCTCAAGTGATTAGTATTGTTTTTGTTTACAATATAATAATCCACATAAAATTCAAGTACTTCAATTTAATTACTATTGATAGAAATTATTATTTAATTTTGCTTATATTGGTGAATATAATTATAAGAATCATTTTGAAAACTTATATAGTAAGGAGTATTTAATTATCTCAACTCAATCTTGTCTTTAAAATAAAATGATTAAAGCCTTGATAAACAAGAGTCCAAAAATTAAAATTATTTTTTTATATGATCAAATTATTGATAGTGAATGCACTTACTTTTATACTGGATATACGATCATATAAATTGAATAAATTATTTTTTTTTTTAAATTTAGGCTTCTGACTTTCAGATTTATTATTAGATTTTATTTTAGTAATTATTTTATAATGTTATCTAATAAACTAATTTTGATTTTTCTTTTTGTGTTTTATTTTATAGACTATTCTTAAACACATAAGTAAAGAATTGTGTTAAAACAAATCTTTGCTGTGAATTATATCGAGATACTTTTATTTTAGTGTTATAAAACTATTAAATTGAGAATATAAAAAAAATAAAAAGCCTTTGATCAACTTAATAGAATAATTTACAGTAAATTAAATTAATGAATGGCTTTATTCTGATGAATTAACAACAATCATTTTTTAGCATTGCTTTTATACTATAATATTAATTATTTTTGAAATAAAATAGTTCTTCTTACAAAGGGATTACAAAAAAAGGTCTTGTAATTTAAGAATCAATGAGCTTGAGTTTAAATAAACTACTTCATATGCTTCTAAACCTAATAAAATCAAATAAATTTCCATATTGTATATATAATTATTAAAATTTTAGTTTTTACCAATTTCATTATTTGAAATTGATGATCCTATCAAAAAATTAATTTTGAATATATTGAAGAAAGTTTAAATAATGATCTTTTAAAGAAAATATGAAAATCTTTTGAATGTAAGTTGTGCTTAAGAAGAAATTTTTGATTAATTAATTAATTACTAAATGGCGTTTGTATGATTTGAATAATAATATTGAGAATAAGGATAATTGGAAAAAAATAGTATCATAATTAAGTTAATTATATCAATTAAAAAAATTAGTAGTCTTATATATGTGGCATATGAATGGGAATTGGTAAAATATATAAAATAATCTGTCTTAACTTAAATTTTCTTTAAACATCTTAATTAATTTTCTTTAATTTATGTAGCTATCAATTGAAAATCCAAAAGCAATAGAAATTTGATCTCTTATCTAACGGACATGCTAAAATTATCTACTTTTTGAACATCTTAATATTCACTATTACTATTATATAGTGAATATATTATTAATATAAGATGATTCTTTTTTTACCTTTGGGTTAATTTTCCAAATATACTTCATTGTTATTTATATTCCAAATATGTTTCGAAGTTACCCAATTTATCGAATTCGATTAAAAGTTGAAATTTATGAAGAACTGCCCATTTCCTAAGAAAAAGAGAAGTTTGGAGACTATGTAGACATTGGGATAAAATACTAACAGCCTTGCCCACATTTAGATACTCTATTAAAAAAACCAAGAACATTTCATTCTTTATGGACATTTGGTCTGATTCCACTCTTGAAAAAATTAGTTATGTTGTAGAGCTTGTTTAATTCCTCAAAATAAAGTATTTCCTGCTATTCCTTGATTAATTCAATTTCGGCCAATCACTATTCTAAGCTCTTTATATAAATTATTAGAACACAGATTTCTTCCAAAGTTACAATGCTACTTGACACTCGACTATCTGAACAGGTTTTATACAATTTTCTTCAACTTAAATAAATATTACAAATTTACTCAAATTAATTAATTTTTTTACTAAAAATTCGCAATATACTAAGTCAAAAAAATATATTTGAAGAGTTAGAACTTGCGTTCTTATTAAAATTGCATTCCCATATACATTAAATAAACCATAAATCCACTTATTAATGGAACATATTATTTCGCCAATGGTTTGCCAATAGACTCTTCTTTATCACCTGCTTTGTTTAATATATATTTCGAAGAGTTTTCTTACTTTAATTATAAGAAATTTGCTAAGTTGATTATAAAAGCTTTTAACTTGCTGACGATATTGTTACTATTATATACCATAAAAATGCTAATTGATATTAACTCAGTTAATCGTACCTGAAATTTAATTTTAAATTAGTAAGCAAAAATCAGGAATTTTTGTGTTACATAAATATCTCTAAAGCATGTAATTGGAAATTTAAACTTCATCTTTGGTAGACATTTATTCTTCCTAATATAATTTAATTTAATCTATCAGTATTGACTCAAAGACATAAAATATGTTATAATAAACTGAAAAATATTTATTTAAGTAATTAAAAATAAATTTGTGGCTTTCCACCTTCTTTGCCCTATTAAATTATAGGTTTTTATTTCCCCCATTTAATTTTATATCTAACAGTAGAATAAATCATAAGGCTTGAAAGAAAATACCAAATCTTATAAGCAAAAATATTAAAAAATGTAAAATTTCCATCACAAATAATAAATTTCCATCCCTCTTGATTTTGCTCTAATAAAAGGTACTCGAAAAAATGACTTAAGCATGCTTTTCTTTTTCTTTTGCAAGCCATATATTAAAGATCTATTAATATATTTTTACTGTTTACCTTTATATCTAAATATACATCATAAATTAAATTAAAATAATTGATGATAAAAGAAACAATTGAATAAGTTTTTAATTTACATATTATTTGAATTAAATTCATTTTGAATTTACCCAAATTTGGATTATACTCTCTTATTAAAGGAAGCAAACTTTTTTTAGAAATGTATAATATTAATTTATCATGAAGGTTATTGGTAAAATATCCTTATTTTTTATAATTTCAGTATAAATTTAAAATTAAAGATTTTATTAAAAGAATGAAGTTCATAAGCCATAAAATATCACTTAAAACGAAAATAGGGAGTTATTAATTACCTCAACCACCTTTAGATCAAGTAATTTTCCATTTAGATTTAGCTTTTCTTCTTTCTCAAGGATTCTAATTCTTTTTTTAATAAAAGAAGGAAATTAAATAGAGGATATTTAGTTATTAACTCTTATCTTTGTGGTAATCAAGTCAATTCAAATCTTCTTCCTACAAAATTATTAATGGTATTTTTATTTCTCATTTCATTGCCTAGTATAGAAAAATATATAATTAAACTTTAAATATTTGATCTATTTTTTAAATTAACTATGAGTTATCATAGTTACCAGTATTTTGACCTATTCAATATTTTCACTTTCAAAACAAGCAATTTTGTTGTTCGATTAAATTTTGAAATTTATCAATCCATTTTCAATTAAAACGTATCAGTGAAGTAATTAGTGCTCTAATTAATTTTTCAAAAATTAATTAATAGAAACAAGTAATTTCATATTTCATAATTGATGTTTCCATTTCAGATTAAAAATTTTGTTTTTGAACAGTATTACTTCATTGTAGTAACAATCTTTACCAAAAAGAAATAATTAATTTATTTTTCTCTTGGCTAAGCAAAGCTCTGGTAAACAAAAATTAAATATTGATAAGTTGATTCTTATTGACATGAACAAATGAAATTCATTCTAATTTAAAACCTAAGAGGATCTTTGCTCTGTAATTTTATTGTCATGGAAACTTACGTTAAATATTCAATTTAACTAAGGGCTAAATCAATAATTTTTATATTTTCAGATAAATAACATCATAAATATCATAAATGAGGGTAAATTGTATACGCTTAGCTGATTATTTCAGATTATATATTCCTTTTTAATACTAGGCTCGAAATTATAATCTAAGATAGGAAATTAAAGATATAATTATAGGAAAGTAAATAACACAGAACTTAATGAAAACTATGTATGCATTGTTATTCTTGTGTAAATTTCAGTTATGAAATTTTCATAATTTTTAGAGATTTTTATTTTATGAAATTTTTATCAATATAAATTTTAAGGAAATCAAATATTGAAAATATATTTCTTTACAATTAAAAATTAAAAAGTTTATGTATAATGTTTTTAATTATGTTGAAAGAAAAAATAATAAGGAATTTAGTGCACTAAAACTTTGAAAAATTTTAATCCACTGATTAAGCGCTAAGAGGATTAGTCAATTTAACCAATTACGAAGGTTATATTTTTTTCATCACGATGATCATCACAACATACATTATTATTTATTTAATATAATTAAAATAGTTAATCACTTCTAAAATCTAACTAAAAATAATAAATTATGTAAAAATCAGTTCAATCAAAATATAAATGATTCATATTCTTATTAGAAAGAAATTGAAAGTAACTAAAAAGAAATTCTTTTAATTTTTGAGCGAGATATTTATAATTAAATGATCAAGGGTATGCTATAATATAAAAATAAAGTTATAAATTTAAGCTAAGTTTATATTTATGATATCTAAGATAATGCAATAAGCAGAGATATTATTATTATTATTTTATTAGATATAATGAAAATTTTATAATTTAATATATAAATGTATGTTTATTAATTGTAATTTTAATTTTGAAATACGAAGTCTATAGTAATGAAAGGTTCCGATAATAATAATCAAGTTTGAATATAATAGGTTTTGGATTGAAATCAAATTTATATTCAGTAATAGAGGAGTTGAATTCTGTTATATAAATATATAATTTATATATTATTGAAAAAATTTATTTTAATATAAATATCGATAATTTAAATACTTGTGTATTAATGTAATAATTCAATATAAAAAATTAAAAAAATGATTTAATAAGCAAATTTAAAGTTAAAATGTTAAGTAGATGAGCATAAGGAAGAGATTGATTTTGTTTGTTATGATTAGTTTTGTACAGGATTTCGATTATAATGTTTTGAATGTTTTAAAAAGGGAATTCATTATAATCATATTAATGATGTCAAAAAAGTAAACACTTTGATTTAATTCCTTGAAAATAATAATAAAGATTGCGAAAATTTAATTGATGATCTTAGTAAATATATAGAAAATGTAAATTAATCATTTTCTTAATTAAAAAGGGGAATCAGAAATAAATATTCATTATTAAAAGAAAGATTATTTAATTTGGATTCTTGTTAAATTAATGATTATTTGAATTCAACTATTTAATTAAATGAATATAAACAATCTATTTCCAAAATTATTGAAGAATAAACTAAGAAATTAACTCATTCATTTAATAATTTATATGAATAATTATAATTAT